GGCTACTCTGAAGAGGCATGCATCACTATCCTGAGAGATCACCAGTGACCAAGAGACAGATAGACAGACAGAGAAATGGCAATATAGAAAAATATAACTTCTCAGTGATGGCAAATAAAAATTCCTATCCATTGAGAGTCCTTTGGACTCCAGCCTCAGTATTTGCATGGAACTTTTCTTAAGTGCTCAATATATTTGGTAGTTCTTTTGTTTGTGCACAAAAATAAAAAAGACAGTGGTGGATGGATGGTGCATCACAGCAGGGAGTTGGACGAAATAACCTTTTGGTTCCTTACAATTATCTGATTCTAAGCTCCCAAATGGCTACTTTCCTCTCTTTCAAATGGCTCTGGGAATGGCTATTCAGCCTGACAACATGAAAGTAGTTCACGGTTTCACTTGCCTTGGGAATGCACTAAAAGCAAGAGAAGATGTGCAGAAATAGCCCATAATAAAGCATTGTGGGAAACTGTAGGACAAGGAAGTGAAAGAGAATTTCCGAGTATTTGTATCTAATTGCAGAAACAATGAGAGACTGGTGGTATTTTTGTTTCTCATTCTAAACGCAAAAGAAGAAAGGAAGGAAGAAGAGCAGAGTAGAATAAAGTAGGGTAGAATAGTGGTGATGATGAAGATTTTCTTGCATTAAACTTTGGTTATCTCTTTTCATGTCTTGCCATGTCTTCAGCGATGAGTCCAGGAGTTCTCCTGGACTCCTAGCTGAGCCTGGAATCTCAGGTTTCGGCAGAGGCCAGGGGAGCATTCGCACAATTAAAACTTGTGCGCCAGCTGTGCCCATACCTTGGGAAGTCAGACTTGGCCACGGTGTTCCATGCTCTTGTTACATCTCAAATGGACTATTGCAATGTGCTCTACGTTGGGTTGCTTTTAAGACTGTTTGGAAACTTCAGGTAGTCCAATGAGCTAGGTTTCTAACTGGAGCAACTCACAGAGAGCATACAACCCCCCTGTAGAGTCAGCTCCACTGGCTGCCGGTTTGCTACCAAGCACTATTCAAAGTGCTGGCTTTTAGCCTATAAATCCATAAATGGTTCTGGTCCAGCTTACAGTACCTAACTGAATGTATCTCCCTTTATGAACCAGTTAGAGAATTAAGATCAGCCGAGGAGGTCCTGCTTTTGGTCCCACAGTCCTCGCAGACATGACTGGTGGGGACGAGAGACAGGGCCTTCCCGGTGGTGGCACCTCGGCTGTGGAACTCCCTCCCCAGCAAGATCAGATCAGCCCCCTCCCCCCTAATGGAAACTACTTCAAACGTGGCTTTTAAAGCAAGCATTTGGAGAGTGAGATGAAGCAGTCAAGATAACTTCGGGATTGGTGCAATGTCCAATTTTCTATATCAGTGGTTCCTAAACTTATTTGGCCTACCCCCTGGAAATCAATTTTTCTAAATCTTCTATTCTTTCTTTTATGCTTTCACCGGCCTTTTACAGTTATTCATCGTCCCCAAATGCACCTGTGGACATTACTCCCCCCCCCCCCCGGATCTCTGCAGAGCCCACCAGGGGGCGGTAACACCCACTTTGGGAATCATTGTTCTATATTGTCTATGTTCAATGTTTTATTGTTTACTGGTTTTAATCTATTATTATATGCTATTTTAGTTATGTGTTATATTTTATATTTTGTGAGGCATTGAATTTTGCCATTTACTTTGTTGTGAACTGCTTTGAGTACCCCCAGGAGTTGAGAAAAGCAGTATATAAATGAAATATTTTAAGGATCAAGATTTTAAATGTATTTTAAAGTATTTTTACTGTTGTTGACCCGTTTATGTTAATTGTTGTGCTTTAACTGTTTCTTTGTCGGCATCTAATGATTGCCAATTGTAAGCCGCCCTGAGTCCCCCTTCGGAGGTTGAGAAGGACGGGATACAAATGCTGTACATAAATAAACATATAAATCAAATAAATAAATGATAAATGATAAATAAAACCCAATAGCCATGCTAGTGAAGTATTCCAGAATGTATAGTCAAAAAGTAACTTTCCCTATAGTTACATCTGTGTAGGATACAGATGATAATGGACATTTTCATCCTAGATTGAAAATATCATATTCCTAAAAGCAATTAGGGTACTTTTTGCTTTGAACTCCCAGCTGTGAAAAGAGAAATGTTAATAGCGAGCCTATTGTGGAGGTAAAAGAAACCAAGAAATATTAAAATAAAGTTTAATCCCAAACAAATTGTGTAATAATTAATGCATTGCGTCTTGCTCAGGCTGGCATCATCCTTTCTGTTTCTCTATGCAGCAAAGGGTACCCACTAGAAACAGTTAGAAAAGTCATGTATTTGGCAGTTCAAACTTATTTGTCTAATTTTTCTCACCAGAAAAATTCATAAATTGCCATGATTCTGATACTATGAAAATAGATACAGCAATACATGTATCAGAACATTCTTTATCTAGCACAAGCCAGATATAAATGAACTGAAGACACAACTGTCAAAGCCAGAAAAACGAAACCACGGAAGGATGATTTTCTTTCGAGATTGTGCAGGAAAAAGCTATTTGGTGGCATGACAAATTAACCATGCGGATGAGTCATCTACAATTGGGCACAGCACAGGAAATGGACGCCAACTTGAGTCAAAGAAAAACCAGCTACTGAAAACGTGTAGCTCAAAATGAAAATGTCTAGGAATAGATATGAGACAATGTGAGGAAAATCACATCCCTGGCTTTTCATGCAAACATCTTTCCGTGATATAGGGTTCTCATTTGCTCCACTTTCGTTCTGATACAACGTTCTGAGTAAATAAGTTACTATAAGCAGACAACTAATGAATTCTTCACTTACACAAATGTGAAATGATCATGGAAGTTGTAAGAGACAACAATTCAGAATACAGAACTTGGACATTATTGATGCAGAATAGGCACTGAAGGTATTTTAAGTGGGAAAAAAAACACAAGCAAAATGGTACAGACATGGGAAAGGAAGATTCATATTCACATCACAAATATTGTTAGCGGGCATTAGACAATAGATTATGGTGACCGTCAGCCACTCACATGTCATATATCAAAGTGTGTATGCATACTAAATAAGGCTACCAACTTAAAACTCCAGATTTCATGGGACAGCTAGCTTTCTTTCTTGCAGTGCTTTTTTAGCTGACGATGCACCTTGCTTCAATTTGCAAAGCGTTCAATCAAGACTCCAAGAGGTCTCCATGTTTAAATAGGTAGCTAACCTCTCCTCTGTAACATCACCAAGGCCCATCACGGTTTCATTCTGAAAACCTAAGGACCCAAGGTGATCCCAACCTGAAATAACACAAGTTTCCATTTTCCCAACTACAGGTATCAGCTTGGATCAAGATCAATTGAACTCAGTTGCCATTGAAATCAGGAGGACATAAGTGTTGCTGCTGTTGTGTGCCTTCAAGTGATTTCTGGCTTATAGCAACCCTAAGGCAAGCCAATTGTGTGAGTTTTTTTGACAAGATATATTCAGAGCAGATTTTGCTTTTGCCTCTCTCTGAAGCTGAGAGATTGACTTGCTTAAGGTCATTCAGTAGGTCTCCATGGCCCAACAAGGATGTGAACCCTTGCCTCCAGGATCCTGTTCCAACACTCAAACTACTAGACACACTGGCTTGTAATTAGTTTAATTAGTGTGAGTAAAGTTTTGGGCAACTGAAACAAATTCTATTGATTTCATAGAATCATATAGCTGGGAGAGACCTCATGGGCCATCCAGTCCAATCCCCTGCCAAGAAGCAGGAAAATCGCATTCAAAGCACCCCCAACAGATGGCCATCCAGGCTCTGTTTAAAAGGCTCCAAAGAAGGAGCCTCCACCACACTTCGGGGTAGAGAGTTCCACTACTAAACAGCTCTCACAGTCAGAAAGTTCTTCCTAATGTTCAGGTAGATTCTTCTTTCCTGTAGTTTGAAGCTATTGCTCCATTGCGTCTCCAGGGCAGCAGAAAACAAGCTTGCTCCCTCCTCCCTGTGACTTCCCCTCACATATTTATACATGGCTATCATGTCTCCTCTCAGGCTTCTCTTCTACAGGCTAAACATGTCCAGCTCTTTAAGCCGCTCCTCATAGGGCTTGTTCTCCAGACCTTTGATCATTTTAGTTGTCCTCCTCTGGATACATTCTAGCTTGTCAATATCTCTCTTCAATTGTGATGCCAGAATTGGATACAGTGTTCCAGGTGTGGTCTAACCAAGTCAGAAGAGAGGGGTAGCATGACTTTCCTGGATCCATGGTAAATAAGTGCATCTACCAAAAGTACCCCCTGTGGAGCAGTGGGTTAAAGTGCTGAGCTTGTTGACCGAAAGGTCACAGGTTCAATTCTGGGGAGTGGTGTGAGCTTCAGCTGTCCGCCCTAGCTTCTGCCAACCTAGCAGTTTGAAAACATGCAAATGCGAGTAGATAAATAGCACTTGGAAAGCGTACTTTCGGAACTAAAATTTATACAATCGGCCAGCAAGGAGTCAGTGAGCATAATAGTCCACAATAGGAACTGATACAACTAACTTAGGCCCTATCTATACTTCCATATAATCCACTTTGGGAACTGCATTATATGGTCAGTGCAGACTTGTATAACGCAGTTCAATGCAGTTAAACTACAGTACGTGAGTCCACAGCAGTGTTTCTCAAACTCTGCTGCTACATGTGTTTTGGACTTCAGCTCCCAGAAATCCCAGTCACTTCACCAGCTGTTAGGAATTGCGGGAGATGAAGTCCAAAACATTTGGAGGAGCAGAATTTGAGAAATGCTGGTCCACACTTACCATATAATGTACTTCTAAACTGCATTATGTGGCAGAGCAGATGGGGTCTAAGTCTAGGTCCAGTTTACCATATCCATTGGTAGGACAATGAGGCAGAAACTCCACCAAAAGGAAGATATCTGGATTTTTGCGTAACAAATGTGTGAAGATTGTATCTTCAGTACACTAAAAGTGAAGATGATGGACATTCCTTGAGAAGAAAATGCAAGAAGCTATTACTTACTCAAATATTTTTCCTAGTTGATCAACATCTGAGTTTCCACGAAAAAGTGCCCTGAAAAAGAGAAAAAGAGGGGATATTATTAAAAAGAGAGTTAACTTTATTAATATAGTTTTTTTCCCATGTGTTTTCTAATTTGGGCAAATTTGGCTTCAATTTTCATTGCCCCCAAAGCATATATTTTGAAATCCGTCCAACGTGTGGTAGCTGCAGGGCTCACTGCTGGTTGGACCCTTCCAAGAGCCAGTTTTCAGTCAATTCCCACCACCTGCGGACTGTAAAAAATCCATGTTCACTGAGGGATAAAAAACCCTGGCTGTTACAACCCATTTTAAAGCCATTTCCAGCATGATATTTTCCTTCCAAAAGAAAGCTGAAAAGATCTGCCTCGTATGACTAAACAAATGTATTCGGTTAAATAATACCCACTGACAGCAGTTGTGCATTCAAAAAGAGTTGAGCTCCACCATGAAGCCAATATGATGGACAGTCCTTATCCAAACCGCAGACACTAAATCGTTCATGAATATGAATATGAGAAAGGCATCTCTCTCATTGGGAGCCAGCATGGTATATTAGTTTGAATGTTGGAAAAGGATTTTTGGAGACCAGAATAAAATCCACACTTGGCCATGATAACTCATGGACAAGGCAAACTATCTCAGCCTCAGCAAACCCCATTCAAATTTGCCAAGAAAATATTCCATAATACATTTTCCTCTGAGTTGCTGTAAGTCAGAAAGAAAGATATAGCAGTGCTTTCCTTCCCTGGAGTGTCTTCCCTTTTGATTTTTAAACAGGTTGCATGGTCATATCTCAGCGATGCTGTACCTACTGGTTTCCTATTTCAGTAGAGATTGGACTAGATGAGCTTTAGACCCAGCAAAATACTTTAAGCTTTTTCTCACCTTGGGGGTCGGGACCTCTGGGGAGGAGGGTCACCAGGGGGGTGTCAGAGAGGTTGCCAAAGACCATCAGAAAACACAGTTGGTCATGGGGGTACTATGTGGGAAGTTTGGTCCAATTTTATCATTGGTGGAGTTCAGAATGCTCTTTGATTGTAGGTGAACTATAAATCTTGGCAACTATAATTCCCAAGTGACAAGGGCTGTTTTCCTCAAACTCCACCAGTGTTCACATTTGGGCATATTGAGTATTTGTGCCAAGTTTGGTCCTGATCCGTCATTGTTTGAGTCCACAGTGCTCTCTGGATGTAGGTGAACTACAAATCCAAAACTCAAGGCCAATGTCCACCAAACCCTTCCAGTATTTTCTGTTGCTCATGGGAGTTTTGTGTGCCTGGTTTGGTTCAATTCCATCATTGGTGGAGTTCTGAATGCTCTTTGATTTTAGGTTAACTATAAATCCCAGCAACTACAACTCCCAAATGACAAAATCAGTCTCCCCGCTCCCCACCCCACCAGTATTCAAATTTGGGCGTTTTGAATATTTGTGCCAAATTTGGTCCAGTGAATGAACACAGATCCTGCATATCAGATATTTACTTTACGATTCACACCAGTAGCAAAATTACAGTTATAAAGTAGCAATGAAAATAATTTTATGGTTGGGGGTCACCACAACATGAGGACTGTACTAAGGAGTCGCGGCATTAGGACGGTTGAGAACCACTGCTTTTAGGTATTTCTCAGTCCTATGTTTTTATAATTATGTGGGTATTGTAGTTGTTTTTTTCACAAACAAAATCATTTGTACTAAAACTGGGAAAGGCTATTTCTCTGGCTCATTCTAGTTCCTTAAGAATGACTAGTCTCGCAACATTTTCAACAGATTAACTCATTGGAAAGCACCTCACAGCATGACAAAATTCACCAAATATGTAAAGTAGGAAAGGGAAACTGGTGTGCAGGAGAAAAAAACAAGGCCTCTCATTTTTAATCCAAATACACTACAGAGAGGCACGTGAGAACTTTTGAACTGCCAATACAGCAGCCTCAAATTCTGGGATGGAAGCCAGATAATAAAACCAAGAGAAATAAATATAAATATCTGGATTGTGTCACTGTTAGTACTATATGGCTGCAGCTAAGTTACATGCTACGATGTTCTTGTTTTCCTCTCCAACATCAGAGATTTATTTCCAATAGAACACCACCATGTTTGTTCAGATACCTTGTGTCTTACAATTACACATACAAAAATGCAATGTTTTTGCCATCTCTCATGAAATCCTAGGTCCTTCATTACTGCAGCTCTGGTTATCCAACACTGTATTCCATCTTGCTAAGCAGCAAGATGAAACAGCTGTTCTCTGGTATGGGGTGGATACTCTGTTTTTTGCTCTAGATATTTCTTTTCCCACTTCACACATACACACAAGAATATATACCTTATATGCTGAAAATTAGAAGCACACTATAAAGGATTTTGTAAGATCATGAGATAATAATGACTGTCACAGCATATCACAGATGGGCATGGTGCTGTATCAGACATTTGTAGCCTTTCAACTTGTAGGGCCAGGCTTTAGCACAGCGGGTTAAACTGCCAGTTGCAGAAAATCTTGCAGATCGATTAATAATAATAAACTTTATTTATATCCTGCCACCATCTCCCAAAAGGGACTCGGGGTGGCTTACAAGGCACTACAAGTGTACATAACATAAACAGTACATGAGTATAAAAACAATATTCCATAAAAGTTATAAAACATATTAAATAAAATGAAAACATAGTTTAAAACACAGATCATCTGTAGTTAAAACCAGCTGCCTTCAAATCACAACTAAAGTGCCAAAGTGTCAAGGCCGGGTTGGGATGAGCTCCCAACCGTTAACCCAGCTTCTGCTCACCTAGCAGTTCAAAAACAGTAATGTGAGTTGATAAACAGGTACCGCTTTGGTGGGGAGGTAATAAAGGGCGCCCATACGGACATGCCGGAGATTCGATCGAGAGAGCATCTAAAGACAACAAAGCTCCTCGGCATGGAAGATGGAGCAACAGCACCCCCCTGTGGCTGGAGTTGAGCACAGCTTCCAGATGCCAGAGATGGAAAAAGATGGGAAGCCTTTACCTCTGTTCATGTACTGTCTGTTAATTTTATAATCTGCATTGAATGTTTGCTGTATATGTGTACTGTAATCCATCCTGAGTCCCCTCCGGGAGATAGGGTGGAACATAAATAAAGTATGTTATTTATTATTATTATTAACTCAAAACCTATCAACCCATTTTTATTTGTTGCAATTGTTGGATATTTTTCACTACAAAGCACTAAGAAACCCCCCTAACGCCTCCCCAAACCCACAGAGAAAACATGTCAACAACCCAAAATACTTCTGTTTTTAGAGAATTTATCAAACTGGTGACATGTTGTCGTGCCCAGTCGTCATTTGGAAAGGGCTCCAATGAAGTTCAGTGGGCTATAGCATGTTTCATCTGCCTAGAATTCCTAAAATTCTATCTAAAATGTTTCAAAAATTAATCATAGTGGTTCCCAAGCAGTTGTTTATTCCACAACTCTGTGAAAGCGGATTGAGCACTGTGCATCTATTCAAACAGTTGACCCAATCATGGAGGTAACTGAAAATCAACTTTACTGTGGCATTTAATAAGACTGACTTTAAAAAAGGAGCTCAAATATGGCTGGATGAGATTTTATTTTTAAAGACAATAATAATAAAAAATAATAAAACTTTATTTATATTTCACCCTATCTCCCCGGAGGGACTCAGGTCAGATTCCAAACATAAAAGGCAAACATTCAATGCCTGAACGTAACAATAATACACCCATAGTAACAAAATTTGGCACTCCAACACGTAAAAACAAATTATAACTTAACAACTAAAATTAAATAAAAAACGCAACCTGTCATATCAGACATATTACAAAACACCAAACATTGAACAGAACAATCAATTTTACAGTTCCTTGGCGGCAAATAGATTGATCATTGCTCAAGGTATCTATTGAGCTGGTGCAGCAAACAAGGTATGGATACAGATGGTAGCTATTAATCAGAGGTATAATAGTAGTATTATCAGCTACCATTACACCAATATTACCAACTACCATTGAGCCAGTGAGCAAAGATACAGTTGTTTCTTGAAGGCGGGAAGGGAGGGGGCCATCTTTAACTCCTTAGGAAGAGGGTGTCCTATGTTCCATAGTTGATGGTGGTAGACCTGGCAGTTGGTGATGGAAGGGTTAATGTAAGTCTTGGTTCTAAACAGCTGAGTAGTTTGTAAGTAACAGTTTACAGGTAAAAGTAATTAAGGGTGGAGGTTTGCAGGAGATGGGTTGCAGCTGGGTGTTACTGGATTTAAGGAGCTAACTTTGAGACTTATCTTTGGGAGAAAAGTATCTGTTGCCTTTTGGTGGTGGATGTTCCTGGTTTTCCCCCCAAGTCTGTTGGATTTTTTGGTGTCCTGACCTGTTTCCTGTAATCTTGGAATCCTGGAACCTTGAACCTTTGGACTGGCTTTTGACTACGGTATAGACTCTTGATCCCTGGACTTTCTTTATTGAACTCTTGGCATTTGACCATTGGACTGGATCCTTTTGACTATGAAGTTATTTTGGCTATCAGTTTTTGTTTATTCTGCAGCTGTGTGCTATCTTTGTGTTTTATATTTTGGACTATATAAACAGCCAGCAAGTAAGTGCTCTTTTAATTAAACTGTTTGATAAAACTGGGAGTTTGATTAATCTCTACCTAAATAAGTTAGAGCCCTGGCAACGTGACAGGGAGTTCCAGAGGTGAGGGGCAGCCATTGAGAAGGTCCTTTCTCTTGTTCCCACCAGCCGCACTTGGGATGAGGGTGGGACTGAGAAGAGAGGCGCCTCCGATGACCGCAGTGTCTGAGTTTGTCTATAATGGAAGATGAGGTTCATCAAATAGTCTGGACCCGAGCCGTTTAGAGCTATAAAGGTAAGAACCAGCACTTTGTATTTAGCCTGGAAGCAGACCGGCAGCCAGTGGAACTGCCGCAGCATGGGAGTGATTCTCTCCCTGAATGGCGCTCCAGTTAGTAACCTGGCTGCTAATCTGCCAAGAAGTGTGGTAACCTGGCTGCCAAGATGTGTGGTAA